TGGTTTTTGGTGTGTGTTTGTTTGTTTTTGTCAATGAATTTATTCAAGCAATATTTACTGTGTGTCTTCTATTGTGCCTGGCCCTGGGTTAGGCATTGTGGTTACGAAAATGAACACTTCACACACAAACCCTGCCCTCGTGAACCTTGTAGCCCATGCGGGGGCAGAGGGGAGGGGAGAATAGACATGAAATACATAATTGCGTTAATAATTAGTTGATTATAGTTTGATGACTGCCAAGAAGGAGCAGTACAGTACAGACTGATACCTCATGACAGAGGTTCCTAATCTTGCTTTTGTGGCTTCTAAATGATCCTATCCTGGCACATAGTAGGCTCGATGAATGGTAGCTGGGCGGGGCACAGTGGCTCACGCCTGTAACCTCTTGAGGTCAGGAATTCAAGACTAGCCTGAACAAGAGCAAGACCTTGTCTCCACAAAAAAATAGAAAAATTAGCTGGGCATGGTGGTGCATGCCTGTAGTTCCAGCTACTCGGGAGGCTGAGGCAGGAGGATCGCTTGAGCCCAGGAGTTTGAGGTTGCAGTGAGTTATGATCATGCTGTTGCACTCTACCTAGGGTGACAGAGCGAGACTCTGTCTCTAAAATAAATAAATAAATAAATAAATAATGGTAGCTGAATCTGAAAATAACTATTTGGCTGATGGAGAAACTGGCAAAAAAAAAAAAATAGAGGATAAAAGTTCTCTGATTCCTATTTTAGTTCTCTTGCCCATCAGAAAACTGATAGCAATCTTCTCACCAGGGAGCCGACAGAAGAAAAGAAGAATTTTGTGAAGCATATTCTTTTCCTTGAGGAGAAAAAAAAATATTTTAAGGACTTAAATTTAGTATATTTCTTGGGTATACATAAACCTTAAAGAATTCCTGTAAGTGGTTGTGAGGTTTTGTGTATGTTTTTTTCACATTGCTTTGCTGTGTTACTCAAAATTTAAATCCTTTGACAAGTGATTTTTTTTTTCTTAGAAAGACATGTAAAACATGAAGCAGTGATTCAAATGCCATTTGGTAAGGGATTTAATTGAAATAAATTTAATTCAGTCTTGTACAATTCACCACATTTTTGTGAGGAAAAAAATAAAACGCATCTGACCTGATAATTGAATGGAGCCTTGTTCTAATACCAGTCACCAAACAGAATGACTTTCTGCTCCGAGGCAAACGAAAACTAAAACTGGAATATTCTAGCCCCCCGGGGCAGCCCAGGAAGCTTCCTTATGGCTCACCTGATGAAGTCTCAACCTACGAGGAAAAATGCTGCTTTTATGGATGCAGTGGCTCTGTTTTTGATATCACTGCTTGAGATATTTAGGGTATCTTGTGTTATTGTGTCCATCTTTAAGATCAAGAAACCAGAACAAAACAAGGAGGAAGTTACTTCCCCAGGGAAATGTTATATTAGTCAGAAGTAAAGCCAGAAAGACATGTCTCTGACTCACAGGCTCCGGCTTCAGGGGACAGCGGTGTGACAAGGGGAAAGGGCAAAATGAAGAGGGGGGAGGGGAGAAACAATAAGCCCATGTATTAATAGAAAGCGAGGGGAAGAAAGAAGTTGAAGGACAGAAATTCTAAAAGGATTGATTCTTCTACATTAATTTAGAGTGGCTGGATATATCTTTACAGAAATTTCAATGAAAATACCATCTTTGGAAAAGGTCTCTAAAAAATTATTTCTTTGTTTTTGAATGAAAACCCCAGGAAATTTTTGGTCACCAACATGTATTTCCCTAAATTGGAATACAGCCATGGCCCCCAGGGCTAAATCCCAAACCTCAAAGCAGCATCTGGGTGGGGATTATCCGATTCTGGGGTTTGGTGTGGAAATCAATCTCAGGGAAATCAGATCCTCTTCGGGGATTCAGAGGCAATGTGTAAGTTGTAACAAAGACTTGACTAGCAAGATTTTTTTAAACATTGTAAATATCATACTGTTTTTGTTCAGATTAGATACGAAGTATTTAAACTGTATCTTCAAGCAGAATGTGTGCTAATACTTTGGCCATTACGGTATTATCAGTTCTAGATATAATGTATCAATTGTAAGGATGAGTCGTAAAATTGGAAAACACTATATAAAAGAGATAAATTAGGGAGTGATCGTATGTACATAACATATATATGTGTGTGTGTATGTATATATATCTTAGTTTTATAAAAGGATTCATAGACAGTAACTAATACATTTAACATGTGAGTCTTATATAATTGGTCAATGACATTTTAAAATTCTCTTTCCTATTCCTGGCCCCTCCTGGGTTTGCAGTCTGGTCTCTCATTATGCACTGCAGGCTGGTTAGAGGTGAAGTGTGCAGCTCACCATTGTGCACTAACTAGTCAGAGCTCCTAGTCCTGAGATAGACTGCGGCAGATGCCCTTTGCTGCACTGGTAATCTTGATCAGAAGGAGAAGTAACAGGAGAGGATAGTGTATCAGGGTTAATTGCTAGGAAGAAAATGTGTGAATTCAGGGGAATACAAATAGGTTACCAAGGCTGGGGGAGAAACTCTAGAATGCTTACTTTCTTTGAACCACAGAGATAAGATGAACCAAGTACGTAAGTAGGTTAGGGTTTTAATAAAGGCTGAATTAAAAGTACTGTATTCCTACTTGCCTTTGCAGAGGATGCTTCCCCATGTTAATGATGTTAAAATGAAAGAAGATACATGCAAATGAAGTAAATAGCAATTATAAGGAGAACAACGCATGGCTTAGTTAGCTTCATCATGGGAGAAAGTCTTGGTAGTGGGGTTAGTTTGGGAGAGGTTGATGCTGCAGACAAAAGATTAAATCATGAAGGAAGGAATTCAACTTATAGATAAAAAGATAAAATAAAGCCTGTATGCCCAAGTGCCTATGGGAAATTTTGGCTAAGTGGTGTTGATCATAAATCTTGTGGTTGAATACGAGCGTGTCTTACCTGGCCCAGTAATCTTCACTGCTGCTTGGAAGTAACCTTTGTCTGGGAAATTACAGAAATTCATTCTCTCGGAAACCTGTGCAATTTAGCTGGGGATTACAGAGATGATCTCAGCCTATAGCTGCAATTGTTCTGTCTGCCCCATATGATCACTCCAAGAATTGTACCAACCTAGAATGAGAATAGAAATGGTGTCAACACTCTCCACTGTGCACTGGCCTCCCCCACAGGTTGGGGCGAGCTTAATCCTTAAAGTGAGCAAGTCTGAGAAATACTCCTCTTTGGACCCTAATTGGCTGCTTGGGAAGTCCTTTTCTCCCACCCTCTGCCTTATCCTTTGTTCTAAAGGAATTCAGGGCTAAACCTCTGAATGTAAAATTGTGTATATACTATGGACCAAGGGTTCCTCCTTACTTACGTGCTGTAGACTTTTATAATATTGTAATTTTATAGTAGACCGTTTCCATCTTTAAGAGGCAATGACTTTTTTTAGAAACATCTGCCATTATAAACTGAGATCTTCGGTCCTCTTAAGTAGTGTACATCCATATGATAATTTGGGAATGTTGGTCTCCTTTCACTTTGTCCTCTGTACACCAGAATGAGCAAACATAAGAATCAGTATTTTGGAGGCCTCGCTGGGGGGTGGGCCGAAAAACATCCCTGAGGGTCACGGCCGACTCTGCAATGATGGTGGAGACACAGAAAGGCCACACAGTCTAGGAGAGACTCCTCACGTCTAACTGACTGACGATTAAAGAAAATAAAAAGAATAGCAGCACAGGAAGGAAACAATTTAAAACTACTCCTTAGATACAATGTTTCCCATGTTAATGTACCAAATGTCCAAACACCATTTTCGCGTGTTCTGGCACTGAGGAAGTTGATCAGTTTATCGGGTCACCTTGAAGATGGTCTCAATTTCTCACTGACATGTTTCGTGTCCCCGTCCCCCTCCAGAGGGATGGTGACAGATGGTGGTAAAACTCCACAGAAATCGAGTAGGTGGGAGGGGAGGAAGGGATGGGTAAATTCACACCTAACGGGTACAGTGCAGACTATCTGGGTGACGGGGCTCACCTATAACTTTGACTCAAACTATACAAAAGCAATTCACGTAGCCAAAATGTTTGTATCCCCATGATATTCTGAAATTTAAAACAATTCCATTAATAGGTAAAATCTTCACCTACCTTTTAAGAATTCCTAACTGCAAACTTACCTGAGTTTGTTATTATCCCAGGATCCGGCCTCTTTTGTCTTCTAGTTAACATCCCTAAACCTGGGTATTCAGTTTTAAATAACTTCAGTCTAGGGTAGACTTTGGATCTCCAAATCTCCTCAAAAAGCCAGGGTGGAGAAGAACATTTAAACTACTGTCTCCTTCACCTTCAACTCACGAGTCTGAGTGCAGCGCCAGTCAGATTCAATCTTTGAATCAAGGCAAATGTTGGTACTGACAGCGTAAGTAGCCTCTGAAACTCTGAAGGAGAAAGAGAATCACTTTTCTAAGGGCTTCTTCCTTCGCAAGGCTACCTACCCCTGCCTTCCACAACGTTAGCTTTTCACATTATTATGCAAAATATTTAAATTACTCATGTTCGATAGAATTAGCCTTCTACATTATTATGCAGAATGCTTTTAATTACTCCTTTCCCATTTGGAGTAAAAGCCCCATTAGACAAAAGAAAAAAAATTACTCGTTTCCCAAACTCCACCTCTATCACTGTCTACATTGTGACCTCTAGTCCTAATAGGATTAGGGACCATGATCATTATAGTGATATACATCTTAATGGCTACTTCTTTAGCTCGACTTAAAAAAAAAAAACAGGGCTAAAGCTTTGACCTTAAAGCTTTTAATTTTGAGGCCCTTAAAGCCTCATAATAATGAGAAACAGCAGTCTGTCCCTGCCCCATTCCACCCCACTCCCAGTCCCATCCCAGTAAGCACCTCTTCTTTTTTAAAAGCTGTTTTATATATTTCCCTAATTCTAAAAATTATGCTCGGTCTGAAACTTCTGGATTCAATTTTTTTGTTATTACACATTGTGGGAGCCGTGATGAGCTGCACCTTTGAAAACGAAGGACCTGTTCCCCGCGCTGCTGTCAGTGGTCGGGTGCCCGCAGAAATTGCATCTGCGGAGAGAAACGCCTTTGCCAGGGGCACGGCCTCTCCCAGGAGGCCTGCGTGCCAGGAGCTGCACACACAGGAGTGTGAGTGACTCTAGCGTCAGAGCCCCCTGCAGGCTTGGCTGGGCCTTGAGACTCCATCACAGACCCGCATCTCCTGCCCAGTCCTGCTGCTTTTCCTTCTCTTCCGAAGAACATCCCTTAATAAACTTCCAGCATGCTGACCTCCATCCCAGAGTCAGTTTTTGGGAAATCCAACCTTGGGCATTGCCCCAGTGACTTCCTGCCATGGGAGATGAGGGTGTTCCTGCCTTGCACAGCACCCTTCCATCCTGTCCCCTCTCAGCTGTCCCCCATTCCACCTTTCTTATGTGGTGACAGTAGCATTTTTAGATAAGTCAACATGCAATGGCCGGGTGGTGCGGTGGCTCACACCTGTAATCCCAGCACTCTGGGAGGCCAGGGCAGGAGGATAGCTCGAGGTCAGGAGTTCGAGACTATCCTGAGCAAGAGTGAGACCCTGTCTCTACTAAAAATAGAAAGAAATTAGCTGGACAACTAAAAATATATAGAAAAAAATTAGCTGGGCATGGTGGTGCATGCCTGTAGTCCCAGCTACTCGGGAGGCTGAGGCAGGAGGATCTCTTGAGCCCAGGAGTTTGAGGTTGCTGTGAGCGAGGCTGACACCATGGCACTCTAGCCCGGCTGATAGAGTGAGACTCTGTCTCAAAAAACAAACAAAAAAAAAACAACAAAAAACATGCAATATAATGACTATAATTTCTTTCATGTCCTTTTTCTCTTGCCCAAAGTAAATACTTGCTTCGTATTCTCATTTCCTTAGTTTCTGTACCAATTATCTCCTCATTCCAATCTTTTTTTTTTTTTCTTATGTGGTGACAGTACCATTTTTAGATAAGTCAACATGCAAGTCGGCATGTTTCTGCCAACCGAGGTCATCCTGGTATTAGTATTAGTATTAGTATCAGTATTAGTATTAGTATTAGTATTAGTATTTCTGTTCTCCATCATGCTGGGAATTCCTTTCATTTATTTCCTGTGTTGTATCTTCCTCTTTCTTGGTTTCATCGTGACACATTCTCGAGCAGCTTTCTGAAAAAGGGAGAAAGGGCGGTAAATGTTTAAGACCTTGCATTTCTGAAAATATCTTTATTCCATCCTCATAGTTGGCTCATAGGTTGCTTAGGTGTAGAATTTTAAATTCAGAATTTTGCAGACATTTTTTCTATTGTCTTCCAGCATCCAGGGATGTTGGTGGGAGGATCCTGTCCTTCCTAAGTAATGTTTGTTTGTTTTAATCCCTGAAAGTTTTAAGGATCTTCATATTATCCTTGGTGTTATAAATTTTCATGAAAATGTGACATGAGGCTCTTTCTATTCATTGAATGGGGAGAGGCCCTTTTAGTCTGGAACCTCATGTCCTTTAGTTCTGGGAAATTTTCTCTTAAGATTTCTTTGATGATACCCTCTCTCCATTTCTTTGTTCTGTCTTTCAGATGTTGGACCTCCTGGAATGATAGTCTAGTTTTCTTGTTTATTCTCTTTGTCTTTCCATTCTTCTTATAACAGTTAAGGATATTTTCTCAAATTATTTTTTCTTCCAATCTTTGTGCTGATTACCTTAAAATTTATTTTGCTATTGTTTACTTCCAAGAGCTCTTTTTTAAAAAAAATTATATATGTATGCGTTTATGTATTTATTTAAGAGATATTATCTCACTCTGTTGCCCAGGCTGGAGTGCCTGATCATAGCTCACTGTAACCTTGAACTCCCAGGCTCAAGTGATCCTCCTGCCTCAGCCTCCCAACTAGCTAAGACTGTAGGTGTGTGTCAACACTCCTGGCTAATTTTTAAAATTTTTTGTAGAAATGAGGTCTTGCTATGTCGCCCAGGCTGGTCTGGCCTCAAGCAATCCTCCTGCCTTGGCTAGCCACCCAAAATGCTGGGATTATAGGTGTGAGCCACTGTGCCTGGCCCGAGAGCTTTTTCTTATTTTCTGAATGTTTCTTATGTTTCTGGTTCTTATGTCAGAGATTCAATAACTTGAATGAGTATAATAATTACAGGTTTTAAGAGCAAGACACTAAAAAGTTGATTAGATGCTCAGATGAGCTTGTCCACTGGAAGACTTTACCACGAGGACATTTTGTAGGGCCCCAAACAATCAGTATCTGTAGTTCTTTTGTCTTGGGCTCGTCATTTTTCCTAGAGAAGAATCTTCCCTTTTTCTGCGTGGAGGTTATACACCCCAGCTGCTAGTGTTTTGGGGAAAGGGAGCCAGAGATTGCAGGATTCAGTATGTCGGCTTTCATCGCTTCTCATTTTAAGTCTGAGGTGTGCTCCCTTTCACTCTCCTCCCCAATACATGAGCCAGGCCTGATGTTCTTGAACCCTGTGGGTCGACTGCTCCAGGGAGTAAATGCATCTTCTGCTGGGGAGTTGTATTTGTCTTGTCGCATGGGGCATGGGGTGGAGGAGATCAGGGTCAAAATTCTACCTAATTTAAAAGACTTGCAAATCCTCTTCTTTTCAGTCTCCTCTGCAACCCTGTCTTCAGAGGTATCCATCGACTCTAATTCCTTTGTCTTTCTACAGATCTGTGGTGGGAATTGGGTTATGTCTTTTGGACATAGATGCTTATATTTCAGCTTTTGTTGGACTGCTAAGTCAGTTCCCTTTTCTGTTTCCAAGATTTATTCTTTTGTATGTTGGCCTATATTTTCCTGGTCGTGTGTGTGTGTGTGTGTGTGTGTGTGTGTGTGTGTGTGTTCAATCCTTGGGGTGGGGTTTGAGGCCCTCTTCAATCCCCATGAAGTGGGGATGCGCTTTTGTTCTTTCTTCTTTGTTTAAATGACAGTCTCCCTTTTCTTCCATTTTCAATAACAGTCTGAGGAAGAGTGTGAATAGGAGTCTCATTCGTTCAGCTGCCTGCACAAGGACTTTGTAGAGCGTGTCATTTCCATTTAAAAGATGCGGACACTGAGAGTTAGCGCCCAGCCTGGTGATACGATATAATTCAGTGCTAGTTAATTGTTACCCGAGAAGGTCCAGAGGTGAGGGAATACAGGATAGATAGAAGGACAGCATAATACTTGACATTCTTTGGATGATTCAGACAAGTGTACAGGGCATGAGAATACAGAAATGGGGAGATCAAGTCTTGGACTTGAGCCAGTCCAAGAAACAGACTATGCATAAGCGTGGCAACAAGAGTAATTTTTTTTCTTTTTCATTGTTTTCTGTCCATGCCTACCTTTAATGCTGGGTGAAAGACAGTGAAGTTAAATAAGCAAATGTATTCTCGTTTCTATTTTAGTGTACTTCGGTTTTGAATTTAGGATTTAAAACTTGCTTACTTCAAAATGATATGGGGCAGTTTATTAAACAATACAAAATGGACCATGGGCTGCAGAGCTTCTATTTTCCACTTCTCCACCCTTCCTCACTCGCTGTCTGTCCTGGGACACTGACTTGGACAGGCTCTTGTGACAGCTGGTTTTTTGTTGGATCCAACCCAGGGAAAGCTGCGACAGGAAGTCTAAGGCAGGAAGCGTTGTGAACTCAGAGTGTTTCTTCCTCTGACCCTCTCCTTGCAGTGTCTTCTCCAGCTGCCTTTCTCCCTCACCAGAGGGACTGCTCTTCTCGAGGCCACCAACTTTACACGACTCTGTCCCTGTGACCTGCTCCCCTCTTTGCTTCTTATCCTGCAGCTGGGATCCCCTCTTGCTCTGCAATTGTGGGGATACAGCGCTGACCACACCTGAATCTTCAAACAGGATATAAAATGCTGAAACTCTGAATGCTCGTAAACAACTTGAGCTGCGTGCCTTTGGGGCGACGTACCACAGGATGGTTAAGGGGGCTGGTTTTGTTTTCTTGGGCTTATTGTCGCCTCTGGGTACATCACTGAGGAATCCAAGTTGCCAACATGGGAGTTTTTTCACACCTAACAACTAAAATAAATGCATGCACTTCTGATTGTTGGCATTGGCTGAGCACACGTTATTTTGCAGAGTGCTATACTGATGGATGAGACAGGACGAAAAGAAGAAAGAGAAGCCTCTACTCCTGAGGATGTGTAGGATTCTAAGGAGGAAGTCCTTCTACGTATTTCTACATGTACCAGAGAGGAGGAGAATCCACTTTGGTTTACATACATTAGGTTGTGTAGCCTGAGATTCTAACAGGATGATAATGAAGCAAATGTATCTGTGAATTGTTCTTTAGGTAAAGTCTTGGTAGAAATTTGAGACTGTAACACAGGATCACAAAAAAGTAAGGTTCGAGGCAGCTTAAGTGAGATCAATGGTAAAATTTTTATGGACTCACAAATTATTTAAATCACTTTCCAAAGTTAGCCCGTGCCTTAAAAGTGATTTCGTATTTCCTTTCTAGGCTGTTCAGTATCATAGTTGCTTTTTAAAAAAGTGTTAAATTTGTAAAACATTTCCACAAAAGTATGTGGTAATTATTAAACTCTAACAACAAAACCTTCAGGAGAAAAAGCTTAGCATTAAAATTGGTGATTTTCAATCTGGAAATTGTGAGTTCAGTTATTGATAGAGATATTGTTTTTTAGAAGCAGTACTTTAAAGAAACACTGATGGAAATACACCAGGTGCTGATATATTTGTTTTTTGCAGGGTTTCCTCGCCTGATGAGGGACCAGGAGACTGTCCTCATCCCGTCGACGTGTGAGTACGAAGCTCTGTGGACTAGTCGCACAGAGGCCTACACCCAGCAAAGGTTTTGCATGGAGGTGCCGAGCGCTACAGGTAACAGGTGTGCTGAAATGTGCTAATTGACGGGCCTGCGCGTGTAAACGCATGGAGAGAGGCCGCAATCGCTGTGTGCTCCGTGTGCTGCAGAGGGAATACGGGCTTACATGCAGCTGCAAACGGGAGGCAAAGCTCTGGCACAGTGGCTTGCTTAAAGGAAAAGTGAGCTTTCGGTTCCTTCCTAGCAAGAGAGGAGTAAGGTTTATTTTATTTTATTTTTAAACAAAGCACTATGTCAAAGCAAAAGCTGATTGTTGATGGTCACATTGGTCAAAATTCCGTGGAGGAGTGTGGCCGTGGAGCATAGCTACTCCATCCGTAAACTTCGGATCTCGCGTGAGAAACCATCGGAGAGTAGCTGCTGCAGGTTCAGAAGACCATGGGACAGACGAAATTTCATTAACGACACCCTGAGAGGGGCCAGCAGGGGAACCCCCACCACTCAGCAGAGAAAATGCTCACAACGGCCCCACCCCTGCATTGCCACATCTGCGGCAAAACATCTCATCAGGCTGAAAGCCTAGGTGTGACTACGGGGCAGCACCAGGATGGTCTACGACTGCGAGAGGTTTGCAGCTCATTGCTCTATGGAAATGCAGAAAACATTTTTCAAACTACATGCAACTGTTCTCTAAAAACAAATACTAAGTTTATGTGGTTCAGTCACTGTGGTCTTTAAATACCTAGAAGGGGCCGGGCGCGGTGGCTCACGCCTGTAATCCCAGCTCTCTGGGAGGCCGAGGCGAGCGGATTGTTTGAGCTCAGGAGTTCGAGACCAGCCTGAGCAAGAGCGAGACCCCGTCTCTACTAAAAATAGAAAGAAATTAATCGGACAACTAAAAATACATAGAAAAAATTAGCCGGGCATGGTGGCACGTGCCTGTAGTCCCAGCTACTCGGGAGGCTGAGGCAGGAGGATCGCTTGAGCCCAGGAGTTTGAGGTTGCTGTGAGCTAAGCTGATGCCACGGCACTCTAGCCTGGGCAACACAGTGAGACTCTGTCTCAAAAAAAATAAAAAAAATAAATACCTAGAAGGTAGGAAAATGAGGACTCAGAAATATTTGTTGAATAGATGCATGAATGAAATGGTAAATAGGTTTGGTAAAATTTGAGAGAAAAGAGGCGGAAGAGTTTGGAAGGTACAGACCTTATGTTAGATAAAGTTAGTTACTCTGATACCTTGGGGGGAAATCTCTAAACCTTAATTGAACATACATTCTTATTACTTGCTGAGTGTGGCTCCTTTCCTCTGCCTCAAATCATTAGAACCATAAAATAATTTATTAAGCATTCATATTCTAACCCATTTTGATTTTATGGATTTAAACCTTTTTTAAACAGAACAATTCTTTTTTTTTTTTTTTTTTCTTGAGGCAGAGTCTTGCTTTGTTGCCTGGGCTAGAGTGCCGTGGCATCAGCTTAGCTCACAGCAACCTCAAACTCCTGGGCTCCAGGGATCCTCCTGCCTCAGCCTCCCGAGTAGCTGGGACTAGAGGCAGGTGCCGTGATGCCCGGCTAATTTTACTACTTTTAGTAGAGACAGGGTCTCGCTCTTGCTCAGGCTGGTCTTGAACTCCTGAGCTCAAGCAATCCTCCTGGCCTCGGCTTCCCAGACTCCTAGGATTACAGGTGTGAGCCACCGTGCCTGGCCAGAAAAATTCTTATTAGTTAATATTCATATTAGATATATTTTTTTCATTTAATATTTTAGCTTTTTTATTCTTTCAAGCATAATTTCTTTCTTTGAGGCAGGGTCTTGGCTCTATTGCCCACGTTGGGATGCGATGGTGAGATCACAGCTCACTGCAGCCTCTAACTCCTGGGCTCAAGCAATCCTCCCACCTCAGTCTCCCGAGTAGCTGGGACTACAGGTGCATGCCACCATGCCCAGCTAATTTTTTCCATTTTTGGTAGCGACAGGGTCTCGCTCTTGCTCAGGTTGGTCTTGAACTCCTGAGCTCAAACAATCCTCCTGCCTCGGCCTCCCAGAGAGCTAGGATTACGGTCGTGAGCCACTGTGCCCAGCTCCAAATGTCTTTTCTTTATCAAAGTCTTACGGAGACTATCAAGTTTGACCAAAGAAACTCATCCTGAAAATAGTAAAATCCAGAGTCTTAAGAGTTCCATAATAATAACAACAACAGTTCATCATTCTGCCCTTTGCTTGGTGGTTGTCACATCCTTGTATTAACCAATCAGCAAATGTTTACTGAATATCGAATGGCCCCCAAATTATTAAATATATCGGGTATTACAGAGGGAACACACACAAAGTAGAAATCATAGCTCCTGCCCCCCAAGGCACTTACAGTTGGAAGTGCTTAAACTACTATATATTTTTTTCAAAAGCCAAGAGAAGTTAAATTTTGGACAGCTGTAAATTGGCTGAAAGTACCGTGGGAGCACAAAGGAGAGACAGGTTCCCTCAGACCAAAACCAGAGGGAGGAGGTTTTATGAAGGAGGAGAGACTTGAGCGGGACCTAGAAGGATGGGCAGGAGGGGGAGGAGGGCTACCCAAATGTGGGGGTCAACAGGAATGCAGGCATGGAAGCTGGAAGAAGAATGGTGCTGCTGTTTATTGCGTCCTGCATTGGAAGCCAAAGCAAGTGGCAGATTGTAGGTACCAGGCTACCATTCCTCGAGGAGAATTGATGCCTCGGGACATAGACAGGTGGCGTCGTTGCTTGGGTATCAATTTGAATCTTTACGTTTTGTGCCGGCAGCAGGTTGCTGAGGATGCTTCGCGTGACTAAAGCAGCGAATGCAGAGCAGCTGGGCTGCCTGTGCTCTGTTTAAAAAATGGTTCAGAATTGGACTGGTTAGGTTTTAAAAGTTTAGGGAGTTAATTTCTTTATTTTTTTATTTTTTATTTTTTTTGAGACAGAGTCTC